TAAGGCCCACAAAACCTACTAGCCCTTGGCCATAGAAGATAATCTGGCCTGGGAAGAAGCCCTGAGCCTCACCCTTTTTCCTCCCCATAGGGCTGGAGCATAACAGGATTGAGGTATGTCTGGTTTTTTTCCCCTCTGCTTCGCAGTTTGGGGCCAGGCCTGGAAGAGTTATTTATTTGTTTGTTTATTTTTTGTCTTGGGGTTGTTTTGGTTTTTTTCTCTCACTTGTGTGTGACTCCAACCCCCAAAAAACTCCCCAACCTGGGGTTTCACAACTTTTTGGAAGCCTACTCAATGACTTATCAACCCTTAGAGACAGAAAGGTTTTTTCATAATATCTAACCTAATCTCTCTAGATGCAAATTAAATCCATTACTTTTTGTCATACATTATGTGAATATGGAAAATAACTGATCACAATCCTCTTTTTTATAACACCCCTTAACAGAACTAAAGACAGTCTTCCTTTCTCAAGACTAAACATGCATATTTTTAACCTTTCCTCGCAAGTCAGATTTTCTAAGGTGCCCAGAATTGGACCAGGTAATCCAGTGGAGGTCTCACACATGTAGAGAAGAATGAGACAATTCCCACCTGTATCTCACATGCGACATTAATACATCCCAGAATATTAGACTTGTTTGCAACAGCATCACATTACTGAATCACATTCAATTAGTAAACCTGCTATAACCCCTATGTTTTTTCAGCAGTACTACTGTTCAACATTTATTTCTCATTTTGTAGTTGTGCATTTTATTTTTCCTTGTTGATTTCAGACCAAATCTCCAAATTGGCACAGTCATTGATAATTCCTTTTTCAATAATCTTTCAAACTAATATGGTCACCTTATAGTAATTAGATCTAGACCACATTCCCCTACTTTGCTTATAAAAACGTCACGTGCAACTAAAAAAAAAAAAGATGTCATGACTACTGCTTCCCCATCAACCACTAGACAAGTAATCCTGCTAAAGAAGGAATGTGGGCTGGTTTGGCATGATTTGATTTTGAAACATCTATGCTGACTAACCCTTACAATTCTATTATCCTCTAGGTACTTACAAAGTGATTGTTTAACAATTTGTTCCAGTATCTTTCTATGTATTGACTAGTTTGTAATTCTCTCGGTCCCCTTTGCTCTCCTTCTTCCAGACTTCTCGCACTTTTCCAGTATTCCAAGACTTACTGCCAATCAAAATGAATGGTCCAATGAGCTCTTCAGCTCCTTGGATGCAAGTTATACAGACCTGCTGATTTTAAAATGTTTAACATTAGTATCTGCTGTTCTACACCCTCCTGACATACAAGGGGAATTGAAAGTGTTGTCACAGTGATATGTTTTGAGACTGGTTCTGTCTGATATCTTCATCAATGATTTTTTTAGATAATGGCAGTGAGTATGATTATTAAGTTTCCAGATGATACCAAGTTGGGAAGCGATGTAAGTACTTTGTAGGATAGGGTCATAATTCAAAATGATCTGGACAAACTGGAGAAATGGTCTGAGGTAAATAGGATGAAGTTTAATAAGGACAAATGCAAACTCAACTTAGGAAGGAACAATCAGTTTCAAACATACAGAATGAGAAGCAACTGTCTAGGAAGGACTACTGCAGAAAGGGGTTACAATTAACCACAAGCTAAATAGGAGTCAACAGTGTGAACATAATTCAAAATGATCTGGACAAACTGGAGAAATGGTCTGAGGTAAATAGGATGAAGTTTAATAAGGACAAATGCAAACTCAACTTAGGAAGGAACAATCAGTTTCAAACATACAGAATGAGAAGCAACTGTCTAGGAAGGACTACTGCAGAAAGGGGTTACAATTAACCACAAGCTAAATAGGAGTCAACAGTGTGAAACTATTGCAAAAAAAGCAAACATGATTCTGGGATGCATTAACGGGAGTGTTGTGAGCAAGACACAAGAAGTC